GTAAATGAGCTGTGTATTATTTGCCCAGGAAATATCTCTAAACAGTTCGTTTTCCTAGTTTTATGTTTTACTATTTGGTATTCAAGAAAGCCTCTGTCAAACATTAGCTGTTATGGTTGGACAGACTGGCTCAGTCAGCGGGATGAACTGCGACAGAATCGTGAGGACTTGAATTTGGATGCCCAAAACCCATGTGAAAAGCTAGACATGAACGTGGGTACCTTGGGGAGGGTAGGGGATGGCTAAATTGGTGGTTAGCTAGTCTTCCAAAATGGGTGGGCTCCAGATTTAGTGAGAAACACTTACTAATGCATAATATGGAGAATGGCTGAGAAAGACACCCAGCATTGACCTCTGTTCTCCATACACAATGGTGTATGTACATACATGTTTACATATAAACACATATATACAAATAAAATTTAGCTAGCAGACAAAACACAGCTCAAGCCTTTACAAAAATGAAATAAAAGCATTTTGCGTTGAATTTGTAATGATAATCTGAATAGCTACTATTATGGCCAAGTTTATTTTTTCCAAACATCAGTATTCTCATTTAACTTCAGGTTAATAATTTTCCAGTTCTTTCCAAAACCTTTTTCGTCTGTAGAAAGGAAATAATTTGATCCTGACTATTTTATTTCAGGCATGGTGGTGAGAACATAATATATAAAGAATGTAACATAATTTTCCCCTTTTGTGTTCGCAGGACAATGGAGACACAGACATGTTATCTGTTAAGCAGTACCATAAAGGGTAATGCTTAACCCACTCTGGCATTGAAGGAGATCATGGAAATTTCTCCTCTATATCTGAAATGAGTCTGAGCAGAATCTCACTAATGCATCTGGATTAATACTTGCATTTGGTACAAATGTGCACTTCAAGTCAAAGTCATTAATTCTCAAAAAAATCAATGCTTTTGAAAAAAAATCCTTCTGGTGCTTCTGTTCTATGAATGATGCTATGGGCAATAAGGTTAGATACTTGAAGCTCACTGAGGACAAGGATCCAGCACCTATTACATTCTTAGCTCATCTTCTGCTGTGTGAACAAAGTATATTCTTTTCCAAAAACAACGTATCAGCCATGAAGACATGTCTGTTCTGCCCTTAAAATCTGTAAGTAAAGGAGATATTCTGTGTCCTCCGCAGCACTGAAAATAAGAGGCTACACAAGACTTTTGTCTGTATTTCTTTTATTTTCCTGTTAGGGATAAGAAGCTCTTTAAGGGCAGTGAACTGTATATCATTTTCTACAAAATTCTCAGTTCTTAGAACAATGTTTGGAATATAAAAGGTACACAGGAAATGTGTGCTAACAAATGAATGGTTTCTAATGCAAAACTGCTTTTCAGCTCCTAAATTTGGAATTGATCTCCCACTGACATATATTCCCTGGTTCTGAGGGAACACTTATTCTCAGAAAAGTAGAGAATGGGTGTTACAGCGAAGACAGAGGACAAACATGCATCATGAAGTGGATGCTGGATCAAAAATACTTGTGCAGTGTCATTCTCTGGTCAGACAATGGCATTCACAGGACTCAGAAGATGAGGACATGTCTGCCCAGAGCTAGACTCAATACATCAGTAGTTGTCATTTTCAACTGGTACTTTGTCATGAAGGACAGTCTCCGTGCCAGTTTTGTTTTGTTGTTGGTGGGGGGGGGGTTATTTATTTGTTTGTTTGTTTGTTTTGTTTTGTTTTTACCACTTTCAAGGTCACTGTCACTACTGAGATCTGGCAGTCAGTCTAGATCCTGGCATGTCTGGCTTCTCAGACATAATTAGGTTCCCTAGCCCCACCTCTCCCAGAGTGCAATTCCTGGCTGCACTCCGGATTCTTATCCCTAAGCCCTGGTGATGTTCTCTGAGGTCAGCCACCTCTCCTGTTTCTCTGTGTCTGAGTCACACTCTCTGACCTAGCCCCTTAGTACCTTATGAACTGGTACATTGTTTCAGACAGTGCATTCCTGATGCCTGCCCTACTGCAGCTGAAATATTGTGTCATCACCTTAAGGAACATTTTAGAAGAAAAAAATGTGAATGAATCTGTGGCCTAACTCCAAAATCAGAAATTGAGTAGTATCAAAAAAATAAAACAACAAATGAATGAATGGATCCCAGATAAAACACAGATTATATAAAATTCCGTGTCTATCTTCTGTGAGTTTCTGTAAATTGCTTTAAAATGCCCTTCCTAAACTTTAAATGGCATCTGTTCCACAAGCTCAGTGAGCTGATCGAAAACCTTAATTGCAACAACTATCCTCACAGGCCTCTTCCCCATCCGCATGACTATCTGAACTCCACTGAACTTTCCCACCCACCCCAGCTAATGCAGCTTGGTGAAGTTATTCCTCAGACAGAGAACAAAGGGGTGGGAGATATACACATTCGAAAGACCCTCTCTAAATCCAGTCTAGGAGGGAGCTGGTCTGCAACTTAGCCTGGAGAGGTGGATGGCAGCTAAGGATTGAGTTCACCCCATTAAGCTGTCAGAGGCACTGTTGTACTGTTTAATAGACTGGCTTGGTAGAATGTAGAAATACAAGAGAAAGCGCCCACAGAGCTGAGATTTTGTGGCTTTCAACCTTCCCCCCCCCCTCATGCCCTCTCCATAACACCTGTCCATCAAACACACATACACTTAAAATGATGTACAGATATCTCTTCTAGAGTATCTACAACCATGCAAGGTAAAGCCATCTACAGACAGGTACAGCAGACATAAGTAATCCAGTCACAAAATACTAGATATGTAGGTGTATACTGAAGATGGAAACATGTTTGAGACGATGAGCAGAGCGCCTGTGAAGCTCAAACAGAGTATGTAAGCAAACCAGCAACTGCCTTGGATGGCTAGGTACGATGTTTGCTGTGGCTTACACAGACCACGTTTTAAACAGCTGTGCAGCTATGAGAGTTTCATCGCAGCCCCATTTTCAAGTGAAGAGAGTATGAATATAAAACAAAAGGAAAGGGGATCACTAGTCTAAACCTTCCTAACATGTCTTCTAGTTGAAACCCATCAACAAGGATGTGAAATCAACTCCATTGAGGGCCACGACAGAGAGGGGACACTGCCCAGGGTAGAGCTTTCATGGAGACACCTCATGGTGGGTTTGGGAAGCCTTTACTCTGTTTCCCCTAGTGAAATCCTCTGAGTCCATTCCTTTACTTTGCACTTCAGAAAGATAGAAAGAGCAGGCAGCTAGATTTGGGGATGACCTCAGGGTCTGGCATCCTCCATTTGTTCTTTTATTGTAAAGGAACAGGTGACTTGACTTGAGGTGGGAATACATACTTGGGCAAGTGCTAGTTCTGAGCTTGGCTTTTTCCTCTTGTACCCGGTGCCACACTAGGGCACAGTCCGCAGCTCCCGCCCAGCACCACTTTGCTCTGACGTCCTTCTCCAGAGCTCTGACGATCGCCCCCGCCCCGCAGCCTTATAAAGACTTTTCCCAATACCCGGATCGATCGCCTCACCCCTCGCATCCCTCAGCGGGCTCTTTACCGACCTCCTCCACTCACCCCCCCGCCTCCCTCCCTCACTGCCCCTAACAGCTGCGGGCTCTCGTGGGGTGCCTGGATCCCCAGAACAGCTCCCGGTGACGCCAAGGTAAGAGCCCTGCGAGAAAAGAGCTGGGGCCGCACCCTCGGACCGGAGGGAGGGACAGGCTCTGCCCGGAGGGGATGCACCCTCTGCTCAGCTGAGGGGCACTTGTGGCTCACTCACTGAGTGCCAGCGGCTGCAGAGTCTGGGATCGGGAGACCCAGGGCGCTGGAGGACAGGGACAGGGCAGCTGAGCGCCGGGCGGAGGGGGAATTTGGTGGCTCTGTGCTCACAAAGGCGGAGCCCACCGGGTTAGGGTGTCCCAGAGCTCCCTGCCTTCCGGAGGTGAGTGCTTACAGCCAGCGCCTCACCACCCTCTTGCAAAGCTCAAACTCCCACAAAAACTTACGGGTGTGAACTGGGGTGCAGGAAATAACCCAGGTTTGCGCGGAATAAAAGAACAAGAATTCCATAAGATCAAGATTTATTTTAGAACTTGACATCAGTTCTCTCCGTTTCACTCTGTTCTTCGTATCTGTGACTGAGGTTTATATATTACCGTATGTTAAAATCTTTTCTCTCTCTCTCTCTCTCTCTCTCTCTCTCTCTCTCTCTCTCTCTCTCTATCTATCTCTCGTAGAGACCAGGAAGGGGCGAAGGGGCGCGCGGGGAGTAGGAGTAGGAGGGGGCATGACAGGAGCTAAGGACAAAGGACGATTGAGAGATATTGAAAGGGTCCTTCCTTTAAACAACGAAAGCATACTTAGTTGTCACAGTAAATTAAACCACAGTTGATGCATGTTTAAAAGAATTTTCCTAATTTTTCCCCCCAGATATTTTTGTATTGGGTTACTTTTGGACCTGTTTCCTGAAGTCATCAGTAAGGATAAGAGGAGAATGGAGAATGAACATACACACACACACACACACACACACACACACACACACGCATTTTCTTGAAGTATTCCTTTAGGATACACTTATATTAATAAACAATTATGAAGTATCGACTTAGTTTCAAAGGGCAAACACAAGGTGTACTCATTGCAAACGATCTTTTGATAGATAAACTGAGTTATAATAGAAAACATACTTAACTTGAAGGAATTTATAAAATACAAAAATTATTGCTATTGCACTTATGTTCACTCCTTTCTTTCTGTTTTTCTTTTTGTTGGTTTTTTTCAGAATTCAAAGCTTAAACTGGTTGAGCAGAAACAGACCAGTGTGGTGGACACTTGTTGGCCATGATTGGTTTCACAATGATTTCAGTGCAAGCTTTTTTTTTTTTTTTTTTTAAGGATGTCTGGAGCCAGCTGCTTATTCTTGGCAGAGACTGTAGGCATAGTGCTTGGCTGCTTAATAATGCATTGCTGTATTTCCTACAGAAGACTTGATGAAGTAGCCCACTGTGGAAGGATCTGCACGTTACCTTAACTAAAAATGGCTTTCCATGTAGAAGGACTGGTGGCTATCATCCTCTTCTACCTCCTTATATTTCTGGTTGGAATATGGGCTGCCTGGAAAACCAAAAACAGTGGCAGCCCAGAAGAGCGCAGTGAAGCCATCATAGTTGGGGGTCGAGACATTGGTTTATTGGTTGGTGGTTTTACCATGACAGGTAGGTTTCCTGTGCTCTCTTCTCATGCTGGCTTGTGTTCTGAGTGAGAAACCAAACATTGCTCTTTGTCCTTTGGAGTTCTTTCAGTCCACTACTTATATTTTTAATGTAATTTCATATTTAATTTAAAACAAAAAGGAAATGGTTTAATTTCAGTAATTCCAAACAAAAACGATTTACAGTAAATCACTCAGCTTAGTGAAGCAAATGTGGTCTCTCTTCACTAGCTAGTGGGTGGGAGTGGTACAAACAAAGGGGTGGAGGAATGCAGAGTCCTAATCTGTCAAGTTCTGAATCTGTGAGATAATGTCGTGATGTCTCAATGTGTCCATTACTATCCGTGTGGTGTTGTGACTAAGTTCTCTTAAATGACAAATAATTACTACCTTGTTGTGGTTTTTAGCCTGAATAAAACGTTTTGGAGTAAAAATATGTTCAATCTAATTATGCCTGTTGGAAGCCTACTTCCTCGTTTAATAACCATTTTCCTTGAAGGAAACAATCTATAACATTAAAAGTAAGGTTTTTAGGATCCTTGGAATAAAAAGGAAAAAGTCAAAGTGTGTCCTCAAAGGAGTTTTGAGGCCATCATCTATATTTCTCTTCCTTTATAATCCTCTTTGTGCTAGGAGGGGCTCTTTTTTTTTCCTCCTTTGAGATCAGAGTGATTTCTGTGGTTTTTTTTGTTTGTTTGTTTGTTTGTTTGTTTGTTTTTCGTATTTGTCTTGGTCACTGAAAATAATTTTGAAACAATATAAAATTGTGTCTCTAAATGATTGATAACACTTTGCCTAACAACACATTATGTCTGTTGAGCCTTACTTAGTATTTTTAACACCAGCAACATAATCCACATTAGCTGGAACTCTTGACATCTCATTGGAAAATTTTCTTAAAAAAATCAAATCTAAATGATTCGATTTGTGTGCAGAAGTCCTATTTAAGGCCAGTTGAAACAGTGTGTCAGCTAAGGACCTAACCCTCCTGTGAAGATGGTCCCCCTATTCTGAACGGCTTCATTTTGACCATGTGAAATCTACACTGTCCTGTATATACTGCAGATTAAAAATCTGCCAAGTATTCCCGTTGTGAACTTAGGCATTTACTCACCAACTGTCAATGGATTCACGTGTTCTTTACAGCAGGCACTACTGTGGAAAGGTTGCAGTGATAAAGGAATCCCCAGAGTTGCTTAACTAGCAAAGATCAGGGCCAAGTCTTTTGATCACCACACGCAGGATCCCTCCATGTTGTGCTGTGTTCAGCTTTCTTACTATGTACTATGTTTCCTTAAAAAGGTACTTTGTGCACAAAAAATATATGAAAAAAAATGAGTTGTTGAATACCCACAGATTTTATTCATTGCAGATTATTATAATATTCTACTATTCTATAATAATCTATTTCTTATAATCATATAATGTTGCAAAATTTGTTCTTTTACTATATGAAGATTTTTTAAAAATATGATATACAATTAAAGTATTTAAACTAATCTAATGAGGCTATTTCCTATAAAGTGTTATCATAGTCTAGCTGACCTGTTAACAATTCTTGCTCAAAGCTCAGAAGGCCCTTGGTCAGTATGACCATTCAGTTTAAATCTGAACCATATTATTTAAGCCTCAGTAAATTCAGCCTACATGTATTTTGTAAGAAATAATGAGTGAAAAATGTAGATTCTTTTAAAAAATATAGTTTAGAAGAATTTGTGTTCTTGCTCATTATTTGACACAAATATATATATATATATATATATATATATACAGTAAACAAATTCTGGCCCAGTAAGGGCTAAATCAATAACAAATGGAAAGACTATTTTTTAATTATGTTAAGTGACTAAGTTTTCAGTTCAGTATTATAATAAATTCAATCACTCAGGCACCAATTTTATTTTTGGACGAGGGACTGCAAAAACCATACAGTGAAAAGTAATTGTTAACAAGCTCTGTGCTCCTAAGATCTGAGAGACCAAGGTATTGCTGGCAGAGAATCAGTTTCGGCCATCTTAACTCAAAGATAAAATCTCAGGGTCTGAACTTTGTAAGAACAGATTTTTTTTTTTTCTGGTTCTTGTTCCATACTCAGTATGCTGTATACGGAAGAAGATTTCCAAATTTTCAACAGTGTTTATAGAATGAATAAAGCAATGAATGGCAGTGTTTAGTTGTCTATACACCGGGTCTGAAAGCTGTGAAGATGGGAGGGGCTGGTATATATTTCCTGTTCATGTCAGGATTTAGTACATAAATTTCACACTAAATGTGCCTAAAATTTCTCTACAGAAAGTCTTCTAAAAGTTAATATTTTTCTCATATTTTGATATTATAATGCAATTACATCATCTCTGCCTCCACTTTCCTCCCTTCAAACATTTCCATGTACACCTTGTTCTCTGTGAAATTCATGGCTTCTTTTTTCCTTAATTGTTGCTACATACACACACACACACACACACACACACAAATATGCATATGTATATTTTAATATCGGTATTAACTCAACACATTCTTTTTTGCCTGTTGGATTAAAGAGAAGAAATTGTGGCATGAAAACAGCCAGTCATGCCTTAGTGGCACAGACAAGATTTCTGTACAGAGAGATGTATTTTTTTATGTTGCATTCTTAATTGGATGACTCAGGCTCCTGTCAGATAAGAGTATTAATAGCTTGGGACCCTCATCATCCCACATACATTGTACAGAGGTATCTCTCTGGCTCTTTCTGTTAAACTCTAATTAGTACAAATAAAATTTTAGAGTTATGTTAACTTTCTTTTCCAGTAACAATAAAGTACTACTGGTCTGTGAGGCATTAGGGGAAGGTATTGGTGCTGAATATGATAAAAATTTATTATATAAAATTCTCAAATAATTAGTAAAATATTATATTGAAAAAATGAAAAATCAGACTTTTATCTTGTGAGAAAAATTAGTAGTTTGTAAGTCAGTGTTGGCCCAAGTTTGCTTAGCCAAAGCCTGCTTTCTTTCCTTTCTTATCTGCTTACATTGGGTAATTGTGCTATCAAATTCTTATATATAAAGTTTTACATATTTAATAGGATATTTCAGGGAGTACTGACTACTCTGCAGAGCCTAACACAGCCACATGAAACCAGCGGTCACTGTGTTGGACAGTTAGGCTTAGGGCCAGTGAGTGAACAGAATGTTATAACCTCACGTTTTGTTTTATTTCAGCCACCTGGGTTGGAGGAGGCTACATCAATGGAACAGCTGAAGCAGTTTATGGACCAGGTTGTGGGCTAGCTTGGGCTCAGGCACCCATTGGATATTCTCTGAGTCTGATTTTAGGTAAGTAGGTGGTAAGAGCTCAGTGACTCACTCAGTACTCAGCATAAAGTATAAATAATAAGTCAGATGATGTGAACAACTATTGTGGAGAAAAATATTAAGTAGCAATTACCAGAAATTGTTATATAGTAGAACACCAATGCTTAGATTATTAGTCACCTGATTAAGAGCTGTGTAAAAATTTCTTTGATCCTGTAGCCACTAGAAGAGTGAATTTCTTAAACAACTGTTAATTATTTCTTTCAAAAACCAGTATGGATATACCATTAAAACCTAATCAACTCCATTGTCCCTCAGTTCCTTTTGGTAAGTTAAACTGCTAAATATTTGAATATTATGTAAGAGTTCCTCACTTTGTTAAAAAGTGCTTTTATTGGGCTTTGTGCTTACTCAAAGTGTCTAAATGTTGGATTGTGTGATACAAATTCATCAAAGAGTTTTAATACACAGTGACCTGCTCCATGTCTTTAAATTCATGTGCCTCATTTGTCATCCTGTTGCCCAGTAGGCATGTGCAGTGTTAGGTGTACTAAGGGATTTACATTAGGATGCTAAATATTTCAGTACTGTATCTGTAGAACACGTAAGACACGTTCTTCAGTACATACAGATATCATAAAAATTCTTTTTCCTGAGGATCAGAGATAGCATTGTAAAAGAGCATCTATCATAATTTTTTGTTCTCACAAGCACTTATTTGGTTTATTTTAGGTGGTCTGTTTTTTGCAAAACCTATGCGTTCTAAGGGATACGTGACGATGTTAGACCCATTTCAGCAGATCTACGGAAAGCGCATGGGCGGACTGCTGTTCATCCCTGCACTCATGGGAGAGATGTTCTGGGCTGCAGCAATTTTTTCTGCATTAGGTAAGGGCTGAAGAAGATGGTTCTGCTGAGTCTCAATTTCTTCAACATATGGTTGGCCTCTTTAAAAGAAATCCTTAAAACCATGTCTAGAATATTTTTATATTCTTATAAAAGTTTCAACGGAAATTCCATACTTACTAAAATATGGCTGTAGAGGTGAAAGAATGTAATCTCAGCTTCATTTATTTTGAACCTGAATCACGTCGTTAGAGTGTGGCCATGACTCATGAGTGTGGTCATGAGTGGCTTTATATATAGCATAAATTATATATGATTTAGAAAAAATATATTTAATTAAGTACAACTAAAAGTTACAGTTTGTATCAGTGTAGCAGAAAGCCACCGGTTGTGCTCTCATTTTCAACTCTACTTTATTTGGGGTGTTTAGGCCTCTACCTCCCTTCCACCAACCCCCTTAAGTAAGAGAGAGAAAAGATTCGTGGGGAAAGGGTCTCTAGACCCCTTTACTTCTACCAGGTCAAGGGGTTCTTTTAGAGCTCTATACCAGTCTCCATCAGTCACAGACAAGTAGGGTCCACCACACCACTGTGCCCTGTTTCTGTCTGTCTGTCTGCCCCAAACTGCTATGACGTCTTTGGTCTCTCAGCCTGTCCAAACTGCTCCATGCCACATGCCAGCACCAAAGTCCACCAAACACCCTAAAGTCTCTTTCTCAGACTCATATCTATACTCTAATTCCTAGACTTTGCCCCTCTCTGTGTGGCATGTGCAAGGCCATTATCAGCTGGCAAAGATCACACCCTGCACATGACAATTAACAGGTATGGACAAACTGTAGCCCAACTAAAATCCCACACGGGGTTAAAACATATTTTCATAACATACAAAGAAACTAAAACTTCCATTACAGATCAGAACTCTACAAAATTGTCCATGAGCCAAAGGTATAAGGAAAATCCATTGTCTTAAATAAATATAAATAAATGATTTTTTCTTTTAATCCTTCCAATAACTATTCTCTTTTCTGTGAGCACATTTCACCTCTTTCTGTTTTCCTTCTAGTGGTTACCATACTAAAATTGATAAATGTATGGAAAACTAGACTTCTTAAAGATTTTTAAAAGCAGTAATATTCTTACATACAATGTGTCCCATTAAAAGTGAAAATAAAGCAAAGTATAAGTCCCAAAAGTAAATCACAGTTGCAGAGAAACAGGGCTTCACAGCCTGCGGACAGAGAAGAGAGGCATTCAAGCAAAGCCATCCAATTTGACATGTCAATATAAGTTCTTTGTGAAAGCGTAATAGTGTGGGCAAACATTGGCAAAACACAGCTAGAATTCTCTCAGAAATTTAAGTATTTTCTTCTTAACTTATAAAAAGTTTCCAGTCCCTAGTTTCTCCTAACCTCTGTCTACTTTCTGTTGGAGATGAAAGCAACCACCGCCAGTTGTGGAAATGTGAATAGTATGAGGATACTGAGGTAACAGGAGATGTAAACCCTGGGGAAACTGGGCATTACCTCACTTACATTGCTGCCTCCTTCATTCTGCCAGCCCTAGGACCATTCTAAACAATTCAGTCAGCCTCCTCAGCCCTGCCCTCTTCCCTGCCTCAGCCAGGCCTTCCTCCCTCACTGGAATCAGTGCCAAGGACTCCCTGCTTAGTGCTTAGAGCAAGAGGAAATTTCCTCTGTTACATATGCCAGACCATGAGCTTGTCTCTTGGCTCCAATGATAGCAGACGGAGCCTCTGGGATTAGTTCAAACCAACTTTGTCTCTCTTTCCTTCCAAATTCTTATAAAATCAAAGGCAATTTTCTTGGTCTCTTACTATAGAAGAAAAGGGGTGATGGTATAAAAAGGAAGGCAATTTTATACCCTAATAGCTTTGAAAAATAACACTTCCCTGTGCTGGACAACAGTTCTTAACTTAAAGCCTAATGACAGAGTTTACCCCCGACCTCTCATTAGCTGAGAAACAAGGGGTGTTTCTTTGACACAGGTTTCGACACTAGAAATTTCAGGTTTGAGAACAGACTGCCTGGTGAGGTATGACAAAAAGGAGTGGGCTAAATAACAGAATACAAAATGCTCTCTCTAGCTGAATAAAAATTCTGAATAATAGTCCTGAAAGGTGAGTAGAATTAATAAGCCGATGTTTCTATGGCATTTTACAAGTGTGAACACAGTAGCTAAACTTTACACTTTGATATAACTACTTCTGAAGAAATTTGTCTATGTCCATGTATGTATTTCAGAGTATATGAAAACATGTTAACAATTTTTCTGCATACACATACATATGAAGTGAGAGAAACACACATTATAAGCAACTACACGCACATGCACGCACGTGCACGCGCGCGCGCACACACACACACACACACACACACATTACTGCCCTTGAGAGTAATCTATGCTCGATCAGTGCATGTATATTACAAAATTATTGCCTTTTTCTCTTAAGTATAAAGGCTGGATATATTTCACAGCAGTGTTTTTAAGAAATAATACTGGGCCATGTAAGGACAGACAAATAGAAACTCTACGTATGCTCATTTTCATCTCATTATGAATGAGCATGGGGAATGAAAACATAGGAGAATATTTTCCCTGTAATTAAAACATTTATGCAAGTTAATACAACTACCAAAGAGATCATTCTTTCTGTGTATTTGGAGTGGGAGCAGCCTCGCACAATGCCTAGAGCACGGATGCATTCACAGGTTTCATCTGTGTCATCAGTTCTTTGTCTGGTCTCCTCTCACTTTCCTGTCCTGAATAACCTCTTCCAGACATGACTCAAGCATTTATCCTTCTCACATGCTAAGCAAGACTTGTTGTGTCGCGGTCAGGTCTAGCTATCCCTGAATGGGTAACACTGACATCCTGAACGGTCTCTGGAATCTGTCACTTCTGCTGTGCCCTCCCACTTGACATAAGCTTGCTGATTCACACTTTCCTGTGATAATATTTAAAATATTCAGTACCAGCTAGGTGCTGCCAGGCAAGGTCTGATTATTATTTTGACCCAGGAATAAACCAAAATTGTCAATAACATCTTGGGATGCTTGAATAAAATGTGTTCTTATATTTTTAGTAGTTAAATTCAGTGATTTGTTTCATAACATTATACCAACAAGATCTAGAGATGCAGTTTTGGTTTTCTCATTACAATTCGTGTAATCATATAGAAAATATTTTCAGAAATACTCAACCCAAATGTAGTTGTGATAGAGAGGCAGGAGACTTTACTAAAGTCAAAAAGTTGGAACCAAATGGTAGCATCTCCAAAGATTGCCTGTCTAGTGCTTTGACCTTTGCTTGTGATTAGATTGCTTATAATTTAGGGGGTTATAACTTGGAAATGTTATGAAAACAAAAAACTTTACCGAAAGAATGACAGAGATTTTCAACTAAAATTCAACATTACAAACAAGCTTTAAAAAAAAAAAATGCCTGTTAAGTATCCATACGGTAACTCCACTATTTGTTAAAAGCACTGATAGATAAGTGTCATCTTTTGTATTTGAATCCTAGCTATTTATTTCTCTTTTTATTCAAGGGAATTGTTTTATTAGCCTAGTCAAAGCTGAAAAGTATGTTGTATTGTTGTTTTAGAACAACCTGGATTGCTCCTCCCTGGTAGGTGGTATACACTGTGAGCATGCCTAAAGGAGTAGAAAGGAACAGCAGTGTTCCAAACTGCTCTCGGTGAAAATACTGGAACCACCAAACACAAGAAACAATACCATAAGGCAAGAAAACAAAGAAAGTGAAGATAAAAGCTATTAAAACTAAGATTTTTCTATTTTTAATTTTAGGTTTATTTTATTATTTTGTGTGTAGGAACACTTTGCCTGACTGTATGTATATTCACTGTAAATCTGGTGCCAATAAAAGTCAGATGAGGGGGGGTTGGGGATTTAGCTCAGTGGTAGAGCGCTTGCCTTGCAAGCGCAAGGCCCTGGGTTCGGTCCTCAGCTCTGGAAAAAATAATAATAATAATAATAAAAGTCAGATGAGGGTATCAGATTCTCTGGAACTGAAGTTATGATGCTTTTGAGCCACCATTTGGTTACTGGGAACTGAACCAGGGTCCTCTACTTGAGCAGTATATGCTCTTAACCATGGATTGATCTCTCCAGCCCCTAAACTGTCTTTTCTTTCTCAATAATATTTTTATTGATTATTTGGGAATTTCACATCATGAACCCTAGCACTGTTCCTTCTCGGTGCTCCGAGCTCGAACTCCCTACCCTTGGGACCTCCTCCACTCCTCCACAAAGAAGAAGAAGAAGTAGAAGAAGAAGAAGAGGAGGAGGAGGAGGAGGAGGAGGAGGAGGAGGAGGAGGAGGAAGAAGAAGAAGAAGAAGAAGAAGAAGAAGAAGAAGAAGAAGAAGAAGAAGAAGAAGAAGAAGAAGAAGAAGAGAGTCAAATTTGTATTGTCCATATAGTCAGTGCAGCATGGTCAAAGTACAGGTCTCCAGCACCTTAAAGGAAACTGAGTCCTTGCCCACCTGCATCCCTGCCAGAAGACATCAGTTCTGGAGAGCTATGCACCTGCTGACTGTAAAGGGCAAGAAAGCTACTTTTGCAATGGTATAGATGGCTGCAGAGTCACAACTGAAGAAAGGGGACATAGAAGGCTCTTATGACAATGCCTACACCCCCACCAAAACAAAACAAAAAAAAGCAAGTAACAGCCTAGACAGAATGCTGTCAATGAGAACTTTTAAACTATGATTTCCAAGCCTAGGTTCTTCTTTATGGTGGTATTCTGGGGAGAAGCAACACATCTACCACTAAAAAATTTAAAGAGATCTTTCAAGACATTGAGAGAGAGAAAAATTGATAACCCCAATTGACAGTTTTATTACTTTCTCTTATAAATTTGACTCAGTTCTTTGGTGTCTTGTAGAATTTGTATGTTATGGGTTTGCAGAAGAAAAAGAAATAAATATCCAATGTAAATTATGAGAATGATTATTCATGTCTCTCAGAAAAACTTACTATTGATATAAGGAAATCTGCTATACATGTTTAGTCAAGCTGAATTTCATATAGTGAAGGCATTACAAATTCTGAGACTAGAGTTAAGTTTATGCATATTTCTAGTTGTTTTATTGTCATATATTTTAGATATGTCTTAAATAGATTGGCAAGCAAAAGAGCAAATCAGATGCATTCTTCTATATGTAGAGAGTCATATTTAATTTACTAAGACAGAATTTTTAACACAACAATGTAGCTTGTTTTTGCTACTTTGTGGCTTTTTTCCCCACCCTTTCTATCTGACCCTAGCCTATCAGGTCTTGGAACTCCACAAGGAGAACAACAGAGTCAAAAAAATTTTAAGCCCAGGGTGTCCTGCAGAGACCCATATTATTATCATTTATTACAATTTATTCAATTTGTATCCCAGCTGTGGTCCCCTCCTAGTCTCCTCCTAATTCCACCCTCCCTCCCTCTTTTCCCCCCTATGCCTCTCCCCTAGTCCACTGATAGGGGAAGTCCTCATTCCCTTCTATTTGACCATAGCCTATCAGGTTTCATCAGGACTGGTTGCATTGTCTTCCTCTGTAGCCTCGAGGGATGATGCATGCTGGAGAGGATGTGGAGAAAAGGGAACCCTCCTCCATTGCTTATGGGAATGTAAACCTGTACAACCACTTTGGAAATCAATCTGACACTTTCTCAGAAAATTAGGAATAGTGCTACCTCAAGATCCAACTATACCACTTTTTGTTTGTTTTTTGTTTTGTTTTTTTTTTTGGGGGGGGGAAGAAAAGGGTTTATTTGGCTTACACTTCTGGACCATAGTCCATATAATCAGGACGGAACTCCAGCAGAGTTGGAATGTGGAGGCAGGAGCTAATGAAGGGGAACGGGTTTGTTCTTACTAGTTCGCTTCACATGGCTTGCTCTGTCTGCTTTCTCATACTACACAGGACCACCAGCCCAAAGATAGTGCGACCCACAGTGAACTAGGCCTTCACCGATTGATCTCTAATTGAGAAAATGCTTTAAACTCTCATGGAGGCATTTCCTCAACTGAGGCTCCTTCTTCTCTGATGACTTTAGCTTGTGTCAAATTGACACACAAAACCAGCCAGTAAAACTGATTGTTAACTTGAGACACATATACATACCACACCACTATTAAGCCACAATCCTACCTTTCTGATTGATTCCCAAGATCTTGCATTAGAAACATAAATATCTTTAAAAAAAATCTCACAGTCTTTACAAATTCTGTGTTTTTTAATGAAACCAAAATTCCAGGATTCTCACTACACAACATTTTTTTCATTATTGTCATCATGTACATCCCACAAGCCCCAGGAACATGTGTGCTGTAGCTGTACTTTGGAAGCAGAGTCATCTATGTTTCTTGCTCACTGAGCTGCCTGGTCATTTTCTTCCAGGGGCCACCATCAGCGTGATCATTGATGTGGACGTGAATGCATCAGTTATTGTCTCTGCACTCATTGCCATTCTTTACACCCTGGTGGGTGGGCTCTACTCTGTGGCATATACTGATGTTGTACAGCTATTCTGCATTTTTATAGGACTGGTAAGTGACATTACCCTCATATTTTCTCTCCTTTCTTTCTTTTCCCCTTTCTTCCTTCTTTCTTCCTTCCTTCCTTTCTTCTTCTCTCCCTGTTTGCCTGCCTTATTTCCTTCTAAAAAATAATGTTTATGATAACTCAGAAAAAATCAGTGGGTATATTATTTTCCATCATGAAAAATGCACAGTAGATTTACTACTATATGAAATATTATTTTTTTCTATGAACTGGATAGATCAAAAGCCCTGGCTATTTTTTTTAATTAATTAATTAATTAATTAATTAATTAATTTATTTATTTATTTATTTATTTATTACGATTTATTTACTTTGTCTCCTGCTACAGCCCCTCCCTCATCTCCTCCCAGTCCCACCCATCCTCTTTTTTCTTCTCCTATGCCCTTTCCCTAGTCCCTTGATAGGGAAGGACCTCCTCCCCTTCTATCTGACCCTAGCTTATCAGATCTTGGAGCTCCACAAAGAGAACAATAGAGCCAAAAAAGACCTGGGCCCAAAGGTCCTGCAGAGACTGATACTCCAACCAAGGATCATGCATAGAGAGGACATAGACCCCCTGTTTAGAGGAAGTCCATAGACTGTTCAGTGTCCAAGTGGGTTCCCTGGCAATGGGTGCAGGGGCTGTCTCTGACACAAACTCAGCAGCAGGCTGTCTGATCATCTCCCCCTGGGGGAGAGGGGTACAGCCTTGCCAGGTCCTGGCTAGTTTTGGTGGATTTTGACAGAAGTGTGTGCACTAACTGTAACTCAAGAGACTGTCTGAGTCCTGCTTTCTACTCTCACTAGTTTGAATCTAACTTACTTGTGGTCCTCTTTGGTAGTCAGTTGCAGCACTTTGATCTTGTGAGCAAAGTTAAGGTTCAGTAGTAACCTAGAAAATGTGCTTCTCCTCTCCTGTTAGTTACTACAGAATTACTGAGAGAACATAAAAAATTATGGCTGTAGAAAAACAAATGATTCCATTATTAGTCTTCACTCTTTAGGATCTAAAAATAAGGGATTAACAAGTTTCACCACTTTTGTTAGTCCTAGGATAAATTAGATCAAACACATGTCTTATTAAATAAAGAATACTGTCACTATGAAGTATGAGTAATATTAGGATGGCAGTGAAACCACTTTTGCACATGTTAAATAAATCATAGTCTACTTTGCATCCTCAAATTTTAAAGTGCAAAAATAATAACTACACTTAAAACAGTGTACAACGCCTAATTAATATAAAAGAAGTATAAATGGAAATGTGTGTGAATTCTGTGTCATGGGCTGACATGGTTCCATGTGCACGGTATCATCAAATGCAAGCATTATGTTAACTGTCCCTGTGTAGAGCTCAAGGATAACTTTGTGATAACTCTGTATCATCAATAATATCCCAGAGAAATCATATGACTGCAATATGATTTATATTGTAAATACTAATTCCCATAAAGTCCCAAAACCTCCACTTCCCGTTATTCTTTCTCCTAGACACTGTTATGAAATGTCATGCACACATTTTAATATTAAATTTAAGAGTATTAATTTGCTCAAGAATCCCCACTTTTTCTTTCCAAGTTGCCCAAACTAAGTCAATGTGCAAAACTCTGGTTTTTACTCGACATCATCATAGCCATCCATAAAGAAAGCAGAAAACCCAAGAGCCGCTTTCCTGTAGGGTCATGGGGAGGTTAGTATGGATGGCGGCAGCTCTTATAATTGATGCACTTGTTATCCCAAGAAATCCAGTCCCAGGGGATGAATCTATCTGTCATTGATGTATATCCTGCCTCATTGCTTTGAGTGAGACCAGAACTTAAGATACACAGCTCATGACTCAAGTGAGAGGATGGGAAGAACAAACATGTAAGGATGTATTGAAGGTTTTGGCCATAAAACATAAGTGGATGTTACAGAGGTTAACTAGTTTCTATTCCTAGGTTAAGTTAGAACATTTGTGTGTATTGTTCAGTAAAGAATACTACATTATTCTGGGTTTTTTAATTAAGGAACTATAGAGTTGGCTGTCTAAATATAGTTCATTTTCCCAGATTTACTTCCTACCCACACATATATAATCAACCTATACTTCAGCCATACTTCCTCAGATTCTGTAGATTTGCGGGTTCTATAATCATCCTTGGAGATCCAAAGCTGAACACTTGGCTCACTTAGTTTTCCCTTTCTGGCTCCTGTTCTCTATCCCAACCCAGAGGCTGTTGACTCTGCTGTCCTGCTCTTATGATCATCTCTCTAGTCCCAATGCCACTGCTGGCCTTCTTGATTTATTTTTTAGTTAAGCAGCGGTTATTCCTAAACCAGCTGTATACCCAAATCACCATACAGAGACTAGGATTTATTTAACTAACCTAGAATACAATGCTGGGAAATAGTTATTCCATCCTAAACCTCCAAGCCCACATAGTTTCCTACCATTCAGATTTCACCCATTATACTTGCTTTTAGTCATATCTTAGATCTGGCTCATCTCTCCTGGCCCCACAACCTCTTCTGCTGATCTCTGCTCTCCTCCCACTTGCTTCCTTCTCCTCCCCTCCAGACCAGGATGTCCCACCCTATTCTCTCCATTGCACAGCATTGGCTGGTCCTTTAATTGAAAATACAGAGAACAAATGGTGGCATGTTTACACAAACTTGAGACAGGTGATACTTAGAATAAGTATCACAATGCAATGTCCAGATTAAAACCAGATAGAGAAATCAGCACTTGAGTGAACAATGGTAAGTTGTATATATTCCTAAAGGACATAATATCAACAAGACCTTTGTCAGGATATATATTGTTCATGAATTCAAGGACATGTTCAGGATGTAATATGTGCATTTAAAGCTTCACCTGCTGACTCATGGCTGAATCTGAATTGGCTCTTTTTTGAAAGGGTGGAGCTACATGCTGACTAATTACATCTTGTGGCACTCACATTTGTTTTTGTGTTTTGAAACTTATTGTTAATATCCATGACATTTAATCAAAATGTTTGTAAAACTTACAAGAAACACTTCTAGCTTCCAGTTACCTACAAAACAAATTAAAACCCTTTAGCTTGAAACTCAAGGTTTTCTTTTTGAGAAAAGAAAATATTCAGAAGCCATCTCTAATATTCAGCAAATATTTTAATATTCAGAAGCCATCCCTTTGCCCAGCAAACCTGAATACACACACACACACACACACACACACACACACACACACACACACACACAAAAACACCATATGTAAATAATTCTTTTGTTGAGAAATTTCCATTTAGGATATTTGGCTTTACAATGGTTCAAAAGCCAAGTACATTCAAAAGGAATCTTCATTTGAATTTCCGTCTTTTCCTGGGCTTTTGAGATTCATCTCAATTCTCTCTGATGTTCAGCAATGGCAGACAACTGCAGTTCCCAGTCAATCACACAATCACATGGGAAACAACTTACACATTTCAGTGTGCTTTGCTGCTGAGTAGTAGCGTTTGGTATGTCCTGTGGGTTAAAAGTATTTTCTGCTTGCGTGTTTTCACCCCACATGGCCTACTGTAAGTTGTCTGAATGCTTCTACTTCTTTTCTCACTCCTCTTGACATCTTCAGCCCTGTCACTCTCTAGCAGTTCAGGAGTACATCCTATAATCACCTCTTTCCCTGTCATATTAATGGATGTATATCTTTTCTGAATTTACAGACAACATAAAAATGAACGTGGTGTGTGTGTGTGTGTGTGTGTGTGTGTGTGTGTGTGTGTGTGTTGTGTTGATATAATATTTTCTTCCCAAAAAGTTCAGCTAACTGTTTTTAGGCTTATATGATCCAATATAGTCAAATACATGAGTATTCAATGTGTTTTTTCATTCTTTTCTAAATCAATGTTTCATAGCATCCTATAGAGAACATAATTTCAGGTACTTTTCTGAAAAGAGCAACTATCAAGCTGTGCCAGCTCTGAGAAAATGAACTAGGAACATGACTCATGCCTATCCAAGACAATTAAGCTCATGGTCAATGCTCCAATGTCACTCTCTGTTCCAGTGGATCAGTGTCCCCTTTGCCCTGTCACATCCTGCAGTCACTGACATCGGATTCACTGCTGTGCATGCCAAATATCAGAGTCCCTGGCTGGGAACCATTGAATCAATCGAAGTCTACACCTGGCTTGATAATTTTCTGTTGTTGGTAAGTGACACTGTGATCTGAGAAACGGGTTCTAATTGTTCATGAAATGAAAGACATGTTCAGGATTTCATATGTGTATTTAAAGTTTCACCTGCTGACTCAAGGCCAAATCTGAATTGGCTCCTCTTTTGAAAGGGTGGAGCTACATGCTGACTAATTATAGTTTAAGTAATGTGGAAAGCAAATGGAATTGTAAAGCTCTAACTACCATCTCATTACATGTTCTGGGTCTGCAGTTCTGCTGTAAAGGAAGCTCACAAATCATGTGACCCCACACTGTATCACAGAGCCTTTCTCTAACTGGATAGCTTCAGATGTGAAACTTTTAACTTGTGTTTTGGATCAAACTATTAAAATATACTTTATTTTGATATAAATAGTTGATTTCCAAATTACTCAATTAATGGTGTCTAGGCCATTAGTGAATGAGGTAAGTTAGGAAGTGTCAGTAGGGGGTGATTCAAAGATGGCTTAAAAACCACAGAACCCTGGTGTGACAACACTGACAGCAAGAGAAGGACCAGGGGAAATCATGGCACAATGCAGGCTGAGGAAGAGGAAAGATCCACACAAACCCTACCAGATTTTATGATTCTGCTAACGAAAGAGAATATAGGAAAAAATCCATTTTGCATCTAATTTCAAGGTAAAAAATTGGTAATTTTTTGTTACAAAGTGAAGGGGAAATCAGGTTTTTTGTTTATTTGTTTCATTTTCCTCTTGAGAGGAACAATAATACTTAATGAGTTAATATGTATGGTGCCACTTTGCTGAATATTAGCAATTCCCCACCACTCAAAGTGGGTGTCTTTCCCAGTAAAGAATTTCTGAGTAAGAAGCAGGAAAACTTAGAACAGAAATATGCTTCCAGTAGTGTCTTCTCTCTTAAAGACTGAAGAAGTTCCCTTGGCTTTCTTTTTCCAGAGATTCTTTATAATTAAGAATATAAGGAGTGACATGTGAAATGACACCTGCCTGCCATTGTGTTTATAGTTATATCGAGATGATGAAAGGAAGAAGCAGACACTTTGTTGACTATCAACCGTTTGTCTGAGCTAGGAATTAAAGCAGAGCATCAGAATATCATGGTCCTTTTCCTCATACTACATTGAAGTCCTTGTAAGATTCATCTGCAAAATAAAACATTATATCCAGTTTCCTTTTTTTAAGATTTGTGATTTATTATGTATACAATGTTGTGTTTGTAGCAGATTTTATTGTAGATGGTTTTGAGCCACCATGCAGTTGCTGGAAATTGGATTCATGACCTCTGGAAAAGCAGCCAGTGCTCTTAACCCCTGAACCATCTCTCCAGCCCTCTATATTCAGTTTCTTAGTCAGTCATGTTCCCAATTGTAAGACAAGTAGAAAGTAAATATCCTATGTTGAGTGGAAGGGGAAACTAGAAATCAGCTTTGAATTGTAGCATTGATGGCGTTGGATCTTATTTTTCAGATGTCTTTATACTGATGTGATTTCTAAGTACAGCTCATGGCACTCAGAGCTCCTCTCAGCCCCACCATCCCTAATTGGCTCTGCAGTAGACCTACAGTTTCCTTCCCTTTGTCTCCATGTTGTCATTCTTCCAAGCTCATTTTTCCAAATTTACCACCATCTTCTTCAGTAGGGCTCCCACAACAAGTACACTTACAGAAGTTTTTTTTTTTTTTTTTTTTTTTTTAAACTCTAGCAGCTAGAATCAACATAGCTATGTTCTCTCAAAGGACTTCCTCAGGTTTAGGCTGCTAACTTGTCATTACGTGCTTATATGGTAGGAAAAATAGGTCCATAACTTCTTGATCCCGTCTTCAAAGGTCACCAATCCCATTTGGAAAAGCTCCACCCTTACCATCTGATTAGCTCCCTGAAAGGACCAATTCAGCTCCACGCCTATTAAATTGGGATCTGGTTTTCAGCATATGAATTTATCTTTTTGAAAATGGTAATAAGATTTTACTTTACTTAAAAATAATAAATGTTCAGGATGGTTATTATGTACATAAAAGGGCATAAATTCATATCATTCATGTACACAGGAGATGGCAATGAGATACTAACTTATATGTTTAAAAAATAAATAAAATTACTTTGAGAATAATATAGACCTGAGGAATGCAATGGAAACTTTTAGAACTTATTTTTAATTATTTGTTTTACTTTTGAATATGTGTGGCTTGTAGAGGACGTGAATACTCTGGGATTCAGTGTATCAGTCACTGTGCTTGGCACAAATGAAATAAAGATAAATATGACAGCCTCAGCAGAGTTAAATCCCTGAAGAAAAAAAAATACAGGGTGATACAGTAAGCTCCTTCAACTATTTCCTCATTCATATACTACTTCCTGAATACCAACTTTTCATCCACTGGACAATTGGAACCATGTCAATACTTTAGGGGAAAGTCAATGATCTCCTATGATTCTCTATGGCCAGAGCTCTGTACCCTGAATTCTACTCATATCATCTCATATCCTATATGCAGAGGTCCTACAGATGCCTGGGAATCGTGCTGTTTTTACTTTCTTCACATCAGTACCTCTTCAAGGAACTCTCATCTTCCTATATGTTCAACTCAGATGTCATTTCTCAGCCTTTCCTTACTGGCATGCATGCAGCAGGCATCCACTTAACTTCCTTCTCCTCTCAACCCCAAATAATTGTCTCTCAGTTTTGTTTCCATGCAAACCTCTTGTAGCCAATTTTAATTCAGTTTAATGCTACCAGTCATTTTATTTGTGTATTTAATGAAAATATTAAGCATACTTCTAGTATACCTATGCACATTTATCAATTGTTTACATATTCTGTGCTAAGATATATGCCATATAACTGAAAAAAAAAAACATATCGTGGTAAGGTAGTTGGGAAAAATGAACATAGAGAGTAGTTCTGACCTTCTCTTCAGTGCCTCAATGAGGATTCTGCACACTCCCCTTTAGTGAAATACCACAGTGCATTGACTTTCCCAGTGGAGTGTGAATATGTTTTCCCACCATTCTCATGATTAACATCTCCAAACATTCACTGGCTGCATGATTCAGATTTTATCACATGATGTGCAGAATATCAATAATTTTTTTAAATTTTTATATGGTTGGAATTTCTTTCTCAAAATAAATTGAGGACTTATGGGTAATTTTAAGGCAGCTAAAGGCAGATAAATTGAGGAAAAGAAGAGACTGTTGAGTGTAGTCACAAAAAGAAACAATTCAAGGAATACAGGGTTAAAAAAAAACACCATTGGCACTCATTGACATGACTTCTCTGGCTGTTAACTAGCATTACTTAAATAGAAACAACAGATTTTGTTTTTCATAGTCTGGCTATGAAGTCCAAGATTAAGGCATTGGCGGGACATGTCTAATGAGGGCAGATCCTTTATAGACAACACATTCTTGCTGTGCCTTTACTTGGTAGAAAAGAGAATCAATCTCCATTAATTTTCTTGTCATTTTGTTTGTTTCATTAACATGGATACTAACTGGATTCACAAAGACTCTATTTTGATGATATAATTAATTCACCCAGAGCCAATAATGATACAGATTCCTTCACCCAGAAGGTCAGAATTTAAATTAACAAACTTGGAAGGGGCAAAAGTTTACAACACTGCAAAAACAGTTGTAGCAGTTTGGGATTTGTGGAGTATGGAGCCTTTTACACACTTCACAACTCTAAAACTATTCTAAATGCAACTGATGCAGTGTGACAATGCTCCTAAGAAATAACTCTTTCATTTGCCTCCTTCATTTGATTTATTCTAAATCTCATGCAGATGCTGGGTGGAATTCCATGGCAAGCCTACTTCCAGAGGGTCCTGTCTTCATCTTCAGCCACTTATGCTCAGGTGCTATCTTTCCTGGCAGCTTTTGGGTGTCTGGTGATGGCATTACCAGCCATATGCATAGGGGCCATTGGAGCCTCAACAGGTAAACCTCTTGTAATTTTGTCATATTTGCAAGGTAGTATCCCAAACCCCTATGGGCTGTTCTCTCTCTCCCACATCCCTTTTCCTCCCACATAGTAAAATAATTATTTCTAAATGGCCACATTATGACTTTGTTACAGCATTCAACAAATAGAATTCTAGTTTCATGGTCTCTACAAGTTTTTTGTTGCTTACTTAATGATGAAAAATTGGGGAACACCAAATGTTTACTGTATTAGCAACTGTATTCTGTCAACCAGGAGATAACTGTGATGCACACTGAATTACCAGAGGGATATGGAGCTTAAAAATATCACTGCATTCTTGCTACTCTGTGGTGAGTTTAATTATAAGCCATAGGTATGAACACTGAAGATGACCTACAATCCCCTTGGTGAGGCAAAGAAAAGCAGAAATTGCAAGCCACTGGCTTAGGAGTTAATCCTTCTGCAGTCATTATGGTCTCCATGAACCACTGTGAACATGAGACTTTAACTTTCCATTTTCAGTTATTTGATAGCCAAGAAAGCTTTTTTTTCTCCTTGCAGAAACTAAGCAGTAAATATATTGGTTAAGATAAAGAAACTAAATACTAAGACAACAACAACAACAAAAGCAATATAAAATGTTTATTTCCCTGTTGGCCTCCATGAAACATTCCTAAAGTTTTGCCTTCAATTTTCTTTCACTTATGTTTCTCCTATGGTGGAAAGAGAAAGCAGGATCCCCTGCAAGAGCACTGATCTCTTTCAGGAGGGCTCTGTCTTTGCAACCTAATCACTTCCTTGCCTAAATCAATATCATCACCTTGAGGATTGGAGTTTCAGAGACCTAGCAGAGGCATAGACATAAAATAACGTGAGCATAATGACAAAAACTAAGATCTACGGTCAGTGGACCATTTTATGAACTTTACAACTAACTTACAGCTGTTTTAATTGTGATTATGAGGCAAATTTTCATGTGTATAATGAAAATATGTAACATTAACCCACTTTGAGAAACATTCTGTTTCTCACTTTGAGAAACATTCTCAAAGTAGTTAATTAAAACAGATTAGAAAAGGTTCACCTTCTACTCTCGTCTCTTCTAAAAGGAATGCCATTTATTGGATTATTTTGGTGTGTTTTTATTTTAGTTTTTAAAACAGAAGTCATGATTCATAGTATAATCTTCCCATTCCATGTTCATATTTGGCATAAAATAATAACTTGATGATGAAAACATCGTCAAAGGTCTTTGTCAGCATCTGCTTCTGTAGAAAGAAAATAAGATCTGCTTCACAAAGGCAGATGCTCCTCTCCCCACGTGGGTATGCACACGTAAGTGAGCAGGGTAACAAAAATAGCTCATTGTTTTCTTGGCTTGAGTATACATTTCTGGTTATTAGCTCAGGTAACTTAACTTTTCAGTTGCAGTTTTAACCCTGATAGCATATAGGCATGATTTTAAAGGCGACAGTAATGGAAAGTGGGAAACAGCAGGATCCAAGAAAACTACTACTCCTTGGTCCTGACATAACATCAAGGGAGATCAACAAATATCAAAGAAGCCAAATAGTGTACATATTCAGGTTCCTTGTCTTCCTCAACATAGGCTATAAACAAACCAAACAACACAGGGACAGGGAATGTTCATGGGTAAAGACACTTGCCACCAAGTTTGATAACCTGAGTTCCATCCTTGGAAACTAACGGTGAAAAGAGCAAACTGACTTGTACAAATTGTCTTTAACTTCTACATTCATATGCCATAGCACTTGAATGCTGCACATCCACAAGCATACATGTGCAAATGCACACACACACACACATACAAATAACAAAAGTAGAAGCAGCATATTCAGATAAAGTGATCTTTCAGGTCATTTTATTACACCAAGTTCAAAGATCTCCCAGATATCTGAGCTTCATGAATGAAAATGCCCTGTTCTTAGCATGACCTACCCCAGTTTTTTATAAAGAAAACCCTAGGAAATATGGAATTGATTAGGAGGAAACTCACTCAAAGGCAGCTCCAAGACTACACTATCCTCTGAAAAGAACTACTGTGATCTCAGTGTGTGCACAGGTCTCTGGACCCCATGGAATAAACTGTAAGCATCCATTCAGCTCCAAGTGGTCTAAGGAAAATGCTTTGGCTTAAGAAAGTTGCCTGATTTTGAGTAAGCACCACTGCACACAAAGAACATCTGGGTGCCAAGGGCCAGCAGGTGTAACAAAGAATAAATGCTGTCAACACTCACTAGAGCCAGGCAGGTCAGACTTCTACATGACCAGCATATGGACTTCCCAACTTAGTGGAAAGTTGTCCTCCCACCACATGAGAACTCTCAGGGTTTTTTGTTGTTGTTTTGTTTTGCTTGTTATTTCTGCCCCACAGACTGGAACCAGACTGCATATGGATTTCCAGATCCAAAGAGCAAGGAGGAAGCAGACATGATTCTCCCAATTGTTCTGCAGTACCTCTGCCCTGTATACATTTCATTTTTTGGGCTTGGTGCTGTTTCTGCTGCTGTCATGTCCTCAGCGGACTCATCCATCCTATCAGCGAGTTCCATGTTTGCTCGGAATATCTACCAGCTTTCCTTCCGACAAAATGTAAGACCAGACTTTTACTCTGTCATTACTATTATTATTTTGTCATTGCTACTACATTCATTTTATTTACTATGTCTATAGTATTACAGGTAGAGTCTCTATCATCTGAAATGTTAAATTTAAAATATTCCAAAATCCAAAATTTTTTGAAAACCAACAATATTACAAGTGGAAGGTGTCATATTATGAAACCTATTTTCATTCACAAATTTATTAAGCATAGTTTATAAAATCAGGTAATATCTAAAAGGTATATATGAAATGTATAATTTCTGTTTTAAAGTTGAGTTTCACTCATAATATATCTCATTATAAACATGCAAATATTCCAAAATATAAAAATAAGCCACTCTCAATATAAAACACTTCTGCTGCCTAGCATTTTGGATAAAGAATACTCATTCTGTGTATACATATTGAGTCTATATTAAAATCCAGCCCTTATATTGATTAAACACACTTATTTACATATAGTAAATTTATTTATGCTATAAATGAATGCTCTTGTTAATTTTAACAATAAAGTCAAGATGTTAGCGTAACTATTTCCCAAGAAAATGTCACATTACTATAGCTTAAAGTTCTTGGCTTTCTGGTAAAAGAGAATACAGACTCAAAAATTATAGGAAAGCATTTAATCTGATTAAACATGGTAGGATCCTAGAGAGTCCTGGTAGTTGTAAGTCATGGTGAGCTACTTAACACTATTTTTATAACAACTTCTGTGGTCTTTGAATTCCAAAGGATATCTTTAACATACAGTAGCCTTTCAATTTGACTTTTCTTATGGAATTAAATGATTCTAGGACAGTTTGCTACTGTGGTACTTAGGGGAAAAAAATGAGCCTCTCTCAAGAACTTTTCTCCAACATATAAAGTTTGGCTTCTCACCAGGTTTCCTAGGTCATAGTCAGCAAAATAAGTCCACTGGAGCCAATGAGATGGCTCTGTAAGAAAAATGGTCATACCCCAAGCCTCAAGGCCCATATGAGGCTTCCATCCTTGAATCCCACATTGTCAGAAGAACTGACTCTTGCAATTCATCCTCTGACCTACACACACACACACCATAGCATGTGTATTTACACACAGGTATGTACACATTTAATTTAAAAATATGGTCCATTCGTGTTTCACTAAAGGAATTTCCTAGAAACATCTGTTTTAAGGCACCAAAAAATTAATTATCTTTTTGGCAGGACTCCTACAAGGACAAGCTGTAAGGTTGACCATATGCCTCATGTGGGTGAGATCTCACGCTGCCATGTTTTATGTGTGACTTTTGATCTTAGCTCGTCTCAGATATTTCTCTGAACATTTAGAAAAAGGCTGCATGGTCTTACTTTAATCGTAGGATAAACAGAAGTCTTTGCACCCATGTGTGCCATAGGTTACATCAGCTTTGGATGAAGGAGAGTACCTAAGATCAGTTTTAAAGCATAGAAGTTTATCCTGTGAATCACTTAAAGACCCAGAACAATTTTTGCAAAGCTGACCCTGCATTGATTCCTCACAGGCATCAGACAAGGAAATTGTGTGGGTCATGAGGATCACTGTGCTTGTGTTTGGAGCCTCTGCAACAGCCATGGCCTTGCTGACGAAGACTGTGTATGGGCTCTGGTACCTGAGTTCAGACCTTGTGTACATCATCATCTTCCCGCAGCTGCTCTGCGTGCTCTTCATCAAAGGAACCAACACTTACGGGGCTGTTGCAGGTTATATTTTTGGACTTTTCCTGAGAATTACTGGAGGAGAACCGTATCTATACTTACAGCCCCTGATCTTCTACCCTGGTTATTACTCTGACAAGAATGGTATATACAATCAGAGGTTCCCTTTTAAATCTCTCTCCATGATTACTTCATTCTTGACCAATATTTGTGTTTCTTATACAGCCAAATATCTATTTGAAAGTGGAACCTTACCTCCAAAATTAGATGTGTTTGATGCTGTTGTTGCCAGGCACAGTGAAGAGAACATGGACAAGACCATTCTAGTCAGAAATGAAAACATCAAGTTAAACGAACTTGCACCCGTGAAGCCTCGACAGAGCCTAACTCTCAGTTCAACTTTCACCAATAAAGAGGCCCTCCTTGATGTTGATTCCAGTCCAGAGGGATCTGGGACTGAAGATAACTTACAATGACCCCATCTAAATAATACAGAACAAAGCATTGCTGTAGGGTGGTCCTGGAAAGAAGGTGTGGAACTTATCTAACACATATTAAAATAGAAATGTTTAGAGGGAAAAGGTATTTCAGAAATAAAATGAATTATAATAAATGAGTTCAAAAAATAACAATTGCACAGTGAGAAAGAGGCAAGTGTGAAGGCAACAGCTTTATTTTTCATCAAAGCACTTTTAATTTTGAATAGCTTTGTTAAGCATATAAAAATGTATAAAGCCCCAGCCAAAGAGAGTGGCCAGATATTGCTTATATTTATTATGGAAAGATGAAATATATATTAAAGAGTCCATGGGGAAAAAAGCCTAGATGGCCCCAATCATCTTTACTGGCTAATGCACTGGACACCAGCTTAATTACTACAAAGTGGAGGTTATATATTTATTCACAGTCGCTTCTGTAATTGATACAATGAGTTAATCAGTTTCCTGCTCTTCATGTGTGGATTAGACTATTCTTCCATGAACTGAATTGTGGCATATGCTCAATTTTTCATGTGCACTTTTTTAGCTTTTCTTGCTATCTTGCATGCACACTCTCTCTCCATCCATTCCTCCATCCAATCATCTCCATCCTTCTCTCTACCCACCTCTCATTCTCTCCCTCACCCTCTCTCCATATTCTGTGGTCTGTGTGGTGCTGGAAATCTATTTCAGGGCCTTGCACATGCAAGGTAAGGGCTCTCCTACTGAGTTACTGAGCTATGTCTGTTATCTTTTGGTTGATGCCATATATTATTTCTAAGCACAAGCAACACAAACAAAACTTATTTAATAATGACATTTATTGTGTAAATGATGGAAAACAGAGTCTATTTGGGGGTAGGAAAAAAGCACTGAGGTCTTTAAGGATGCCCACAATTGCCATATGCTCAAAGAAAAGTACCCAAAGCCAAGCATGAAAAGGTTGTTGGATAACATTAGAGCAATAAGTCAAGAAAAAAAAATTAGGAAAGGGGGAAGAGGAGAAACATATTTCTATCTCCAGCTTTTGTATATTAAATGTTGCCATGCCTTACAGATGTAATGTCTTGGCTTATATTTTAAGTCTGTATTGGAGGCAAAGTTGAGCCATATGCCACTGTCTAACATATGTTACAGGTGGTGATTGTTGCAACACTGTGCATTCCCTGAATATTTATTACCAGCAGCTCCCAAGCACCTCACCAAGACACTGGAAAACAAATCCTACTCAATTTTGGGCATTGACTAATGGAATAGTTTTGTGTTAAGGATCTATTCTTTTCCATATAAGCCACCTGTAGAGACTGGATGGATCACAGCATATATATATATATATACACAAAATGTAATAGAAAACAAAAAGTAAAAACAAATCCTAAAGAAGAAGCCATCACTTTTAATATCTGTTGTGTACATGTATTTCAAGAGGCCAATCATTAAGTATAATTTTGCTCCTCTGCAGCATTCAGTATTACATAAAAACCTTGTGCTCCGTACCATAAAGCTCTTTTCTATAGGCTGCAATTGGAATTATCTCAAAGCATCAAAAGGTGGACTTACTTTGTTTAAAAATGTGATTCCAAAAATCCCACTGTGACTTTTAAAAAGTAAAGTTAAATAATTTTACATATCTTAATGTCCTGTTTTTCAACTCTGTCTCAATACTTGAGCCTCTTTACTATGTGTGTACCTAAGGAAAAGAAATTTCATTTACCCAGCAGCTTTTCTCAGAATCAACTCAATAACTTTGGAGAGTACTTGAAAGTACAAGGTCTGAGAGTCTGAAACGTAGAGTGAGAAAAGAATTAAAAAAGAAAAACACAGACAAAAAAGAAAAAAAAAACCTTTGCTCATGTAAAACTGTTAGTAACAGGGATGCAATTTCTGGTGAACATGGTATTTCAGATCCACCAGGTAACCCAACATAGACAAAAGAGTGAATTTTGGCCACTTCATTCTCATGTGTCCTCCCCTCAGACTGTTGAGGTGTGCGCTTCCTTACACACCGTGAAGCCCCTCGCAGTGCAGAGACGATAGCACGTTCTTTTCACAGACATTACATTTTGTAATGTTCTTCATAAATAATTGTCCAAATAATCTTATTTGTTTAAACTAAACATGTTAACAGTAATTAGGAAACATTTGCCTTGCCCAAAATATTAAAGCTAAACAAAGTGCATAGACTAATAAACACTGATTTTTGTTTTGTTTTGAAGCTCAAATAAATACATACTGTCAAAACAGATAGGAAAAAAATCACATAGTCATAAAATTTGCTAAATATAACCAAAATGATATTTAAAGTATTAAAATAGCAAAAATGTGAGAAAAGAATTCCAAGACATTTTTTCATGCACACTCTGCAATGAGTTTCCCCTGATTCTCAAGCACAGGAAGAAGCTTCAGGGTACAGAAGGTCTGCTCTGTTTTGGAATGATGACATCTCTAAATAATTTCAGATTCAGACAGTGAACCTCATTTTCAAATCCATCCCCAAGGAAATCATATTACCCAAGTGTTTCACAGTCTTGCTTTGGAAGTAATACCTGTGATAGCATCAGAGAAAGACAGGCGTTTCACTCCCATGCTTTGCCAATGACTGAAGCATGTTTCTTAGGTAATTTGTGTGCCTCCCCGCATATTCAGAATGTCAAGCTTGTAGCAGGAGTGATATATCAACAAGCTGTCAAATGTTCAGTGCCAAAATCCAATTTCATTGCTACACTTACAAGTAATGAATTTTATGTGAATATTAAATGAATGGAAGCTTGAAATAAGTGGATTTAATATAATATGTATTGAATTTTTATTTGTAAATAATGAATTAGCATTATATTTTAAACATAAATCACCATTTTTCTTTTTATCCTTCTACAAAATTTACTCTGGTAATATATATATATAACTTGTTATAGGTTTGCTATAATGTATGTTTGCTACTGCATAGACAAATGCATATAATGGTTGCCAAACCTATATTTTTATCTGTCAAGATGTTATAAAATGTTATACTCAAAATAATTACATTTACCAGTATACGTGTATGTATTTAAATATAATAATATTGTATTAAATTATTCCATTGCAATTCAGAATATCATGTCTAGGATTGATGTTTTGGGGGCCACTCTTTAAATAGAAATGGTGCTTGAATACAACTATGCAACAGAAGTGAAATAAACAAGTGTATAGAAAGATATTTAAATGTCAAGTGGGAAAACTGCAACTGCTAAAGTCTTCGGATTATCTATGCATCTTATCTCAGAACAAGATGCACATTCTCTTAGATTAAGCATTGTGCACAGGCCTTCCTTTGAATTAAATTAATATCAAACTGCAATTACATTAATATAAACATACATATCTTTAAGAAATGGCTGTCTTATCACTGTTGATGCAGGACTTAAGAGCCAATACACAGGGACAAACCAGTTCTCAGCATGCTCTAAGGACAAATGCAGCTTCTTGTCTAACCCTTTCAGGGAGTCTTGAAAAGTGAATTTTTTTTCTAGCCTCAGAAGGACTTTGGCCAGTTAGGTCTTAATCATAAGTATTATGTCTTTAGACATATACAAGCTGGAAGGATCTAAAAGCTTTTTTTTTTTTTTTTTTGAAAGAATGATATCCATCGTTGTAGCTATTCTTCCATGTGTCCAAACTGGCATACAATTCTGTTTTATTTCAAACATTTTACAATGGGAATTATTAAAAATGAAAATACAGAAAGCATAAGAGCAGAGTCACCTGGTGAATCAGGCCTGAGAGTCCACCTGTTCAGAAGACTAAGGTGAGAGAATTGGAAGTACATGGACTGCCTAGGCTACAGAGTCAACCCAAGGCCACCATGGGAAACTCAATGAAGAAGATTTTTAAAAGCTGGCTGGCTGGGCATATAGTTCACTGGGTAGTATGCTTACTTAATCTGTGTGAAATATCAGGGTTTCTTACTATTATTAGGGAGAGGGGTGCTTAGGCAGCTAGAAAATGATACCCTCTACCAAGATTTTCCATCAGTGTATGAACTCCAACACAGCACAGTGAAATAGCAATCCTGTCTAATGTTACTTGGAGTCTCTCAAAAAAATTAGATTCTCTAAAATAAATAATAAATTATGATGATTCTGTTTTGACTTTTAGTTGGAAAACTATTGTTACCTGCTTTTAACAATAGTTAAAACACACCGTGTGGTGTGTTTTGGAGCCAAACTTGAGAATTTGTTATTTGGAAACAATGAACCACATAAACCAAAGAGGACATGGATCAAAGATAGAATTTGGAGTATTAAATACAGTGAAAAAAGTAACTGCAAATAGGTTCTAACTACCAAAAAGTGCAATTTAATCAACCCATAGAAAACAAGATATTGGAATCATGCTTAATGTTAGAGAGACTGGAATTGGAGATTGATAGAATTATTGAAACTCTAAAGGTCATTTTCAGTTATGCTGTTCAAAGTTTAAAATCAACTTTAGATGTAAGCAACTATTTTTCTTTTTTATTTTTATTATTAGTTACATTTTATTAACTCTGTATCCCAGCTGTATCCTGCTCCCTCATCCCCTCCCAATCCCACCCTCCCTCCCTCATCTCCTCCCTGCCCCTTTCTAAGTCCACTGAATGGGGAGGACCTCCTCCCCTTTCATCTGACCCTGTTTTATCAGGTATCTTCAGGACTGGCTGCAAAGTCCTCCTCTGTGGCCTAGCAGGACTGCTCCAACTTTATGTTCTAGCAGGATCTTTCTAGTTTGCTTATGTGCTATTTGGATAGATGCAGCATAACATATTAGAAAGTAACTAAGACCAGGGCCACAAAAGAAGGCACATGCATTGACAGCTGCATGTTCTTTACCAAGTACACACTTCTGTGGGTCTTAGTCTTGCTGATAAAAATGGTATGTGCCTCTTATTAGTATGTTATAAGATACACACAAGTTCATATCCTAGACAACCCTTAAGACAGAGAGACATAGAACCATAAGTTCTGCTCTCCAAATGAAAAAAAAAGTGACAAAATACATCTAGCTACTTTATCAACATTGTCATCAGGTATTCTACATAATGGATGAAGAAACTAGAGTCCTGTCTTAGTACCTATAGATCACATTTGCTTTACAGACACAGCCAAACAGAGTTTTCAGGCTATTCCATGTTCACCCAACTTTTACTCTGTATATAACCA